CAACCTAACATGCAGGTTTTTGGACTGTGGGAGGAAGCCGGAGAACCCGGAGAGAACCCACAGACACAGGGAGAACATGCAGACTCCACCCAGATTCGGTTCCCCCGGGATTCGAACCCAGAACCCTCTTGCTGGGAGGCGACAGTGCTAACCACCACACCACCGCCCAAAGACACTCAAATGAAAGACTAAAGAGACACCAACTGTGTATCCTCCACATCTTTGCTACGACGCGGTAGTCCACCATGGGAGCCACAGCACAGATGATAACAGCAGCCAGAGAGGCTTTGGGGATGTAGTAGAAGGCCGGCATGAGGAAGGCCAGGGACAGCAACACGATCGCACCTAAAACGAGCACAGAGGAGGTAAAGAAACAGGGAAAGATCCACTAAAGTGGGAAATATACACCTTAAAGATTGTGGGCAGGATGGAAAACAAGTTGTGAATTTCTGGGTGTTTCTCTTTAATTATAAGCTTTCTAGAAACCATATTGGTCCCAAATTGAAGCAAACCACTTGTAAGAATTTATTAGAAGTGGAAGAATCACAATAGCTGCCACTATGTGGATATTTAATGGCGTTAAATGCATTTAAATATATCTTTCATGAGATTTAAAAAAGCTCCACAAAAATATGGACCAACATGTCGACATTACTGGTGTTGCTCGAGCAAAGTTACAGACATTTTATTTTCCCAAATATTTCCATTTCTTATAAAATAAATGTAAGAAACTTTTTAAATAAGTATGAATATACAAAAAGGTTTATTTCACAAAGATTTTTCAAAGAAATACCCTCAAATAATTTCATCCCTCAATTTGAATTTATCCATAGGGAACATTTTCTCATATTCATTGGGACAGTGAGTCCTGCTTTTATTGGCCATTTTATATGACTGACCCCTCAATCAAATTGTTTAATCCAATAGAGTCATGGTGATATTGACCAATCAAAAGGCAGATCCAAAAGACATGCCATGACTAGGTCTCATCTTTGGTTAGTCAAATTTCAGTCACAGGACTGAAGTCTTTATCTATAAAATATTTGATACTTTTAAATCTCAAAAGTAAAAAGATTTCAACCGAAACAATACATTTTGAGATAATCTATTTGAAAAAACTTGCATTTCCTCCAGGATAATAAAGTATCCATCTACAAAATGATCATGTAATAATAAAGATGGCCACCAGAGGGCACTCACTGGTGATCAGCCCCCCAGCTGGTGTGCAAACCCCTGTCTGGGAGTTCACAGCTGTCCTGGATAAAACACAAAATGTGACACAGGAGAAGCTTAAAGGAGACATATTATACCCTATTTCAACAAGTTAAACTAGTTCCCTGGTGTCCTAATGTAATGTCTGTGACAAGCTTTGGTCAAAATCCCATAAGGATGAAGCCCAATAGCAGTTCAGTCCCCCTGCCTAACCCTAGCCCTAACCCTAACCCTAACCCAAAACAGCCCCGTTCAGAGCGCTCGCTTTGGAGTGCCTGTCTCTTTAAATGCAAATGAGACACAGGCAATCCACCCACTTCTTCCGGGAGGTGTGCCCACGTCGGCACGCTAACGCTACCATGCTAACGCTACCATGCTAATGTTACCATGCTAACGCTACCATGCTAACGCTACCATGCTAATGCTCACACTACCACGACGTCTCCACAGATAGGGGAGTAAGCTGAGGGGGGGGGCAACATGCAGGTGAAAGGCTGGAATATTATAATGAGCTAGAGCTAATGACGTCAGAAACTACCCACTCCTGAAACCTCCTGATTTATCTCCTGGATTCAGACTGAGGTAGCCCACAAAAACATGACTGAGTCATTTTATTTTTCACACTTTGCCTGCTGATAGGCCCTCCACAGTCCCAAATGTACATAATCAAATGATTAAAAACTTGGTTTTGAATAATATGTCCCCTTTAACATCTCTCTCAGACAAACCTCCCGAAGCTGCCGGTGACGGGGTACGCCGACACGAAGGAGCCCATGACGTTGGTCACGCCGATGGCCAGCAGCTCCTGGTTGGCATCGATCCTGTAGTCGTTCTGACTGGCTGAGGGCCAAAAAAACGGTTCGAATCAGCCATTAGTCTGAGGACAGGCCCTGTTTTTACCCAGACGGCTGTTTGAGTGGTGTAGCTTTTCCTCTAAAATCGTTAAAAATGGCTCCGTTTTTGACAAAACCGAGCAGGAAGAAGCTCCATTTGAGCCACTTCCTGTCACTGCTTACCAAAAGCTTTTGCAATCGCGATGCTCTCCAGCAGACCCATGAAGGGGATGACGGCCAGGCCTCCCCCAAAGCCCTGAACAGGCACACAGACAGGAAAATGCTGAGTCAGC